TTACAGCTTTTCTTTGTTTTATGTCACTTTAAAACTGTTGGTCGCACAAAACAAACGTCTCTTTCGCAGCTTTCTCACATTTTATAGACTGAATAATTAATCAATTAAAACATCAGACGAATTAATCATGAAGATAATCATTTGTATATTTCTTAGATTGAGACTAGAAATGTGTCTTAATCTTAAAGCCGACGGCTGCACGATGCTCCTAACATTTTCTTCTGGTGTCCTTTCTCCAGACCTCTCGGCCCCCCTGTCCGGCCCCGGGCCCCATGTTGGGCACCGTCCCTGTGCGTCCCTGTACATTCCACCTCACTAATAATCGCTCTGCCGCCGTCTTCTGAAGCAGAGATAAAGGAAAATCCCCCAGAGGCAGAATCCCTTCGGCTGCCGTTATTAAATTTCCCCTTAAATGAAGTGGCTGCCAATCACCGCCGAACACACACGGCGAGGAAGAAGAAGAAGAGGGTGAGAGGCGGAGCCGGGATTCCTGATGCCCGGATAAATCCACGACCCGCTCGCCGTAGAGCCACTTTAAAGGGATAAATATTCGGAATCGGGCAGGAAAAGCTGGCAACCTGCCCGGAAAGCTTTCAGAGATGTTTCCTAAACTTTATCTGACAAAAGAGTTCACAAAGAAATAAATCAGCTGACTCGTAACGAGGGTTTCTGACCGCGGGAGAAGCGACAGGGGGGAGGGATTGATGTTGTTTTCCAGGAAGAGGGGGGAGGAAAACAAGGTTTGGAGGAACGAGAGAAGAGGGGAGGAGGAAGAGGAGGAAGAGGCCTGAGGGTCCACTTAAGCTAATTAATGGATCGACGTGCACGTGTGGTGAGCGTGCACGTTGTGTTTAAAGGGGCTTAAGTTTTCATCCATTAGACAAATGAGAGGGCAGGAGGGGGGGGCGCCAAGGGGGAGACTAACGGGCAGCACACACACGTGCACGTACATGCACACGCACACACACACACACACACACAGCAGAGTAATCAGTCTTCTGAACTAATCAGGATTTTTTTAATGAACACGCAATCTCTCACTCTGAGGCTTCAAAACACACTGATTGAATTAGAGCAGAGCTCAAACTGCAGGGGGAGGGAGG